CTTGAGCTGAAGAGTGCAGGGTCAACACCCAGGCCCAGAGTTCAAGCTCCATGACTGACCAAAAAAAAAAAATTATTAGGGTAAATACATATTATAGATGTGTGGTTTTTATTTTTTAACCTACATCTGTACTATTTCACATGAATTATTAGAAGCATTTTCATCTTACTAGATTAGAAAAGGTATATTTCATATGCCTTTGGAACTTAAGTCTTGTTTTTCCACTAGCAACCCATATACTTGAATTACAAATTTTAATGAAACAATCATCATATAATATCCCTTGAAAACATCTTCATTAAGATAGTTCAGCCAGATTTAAATGTTTCTATCCTAATAAAAAGTTATTTTTATGTCTCTTGCCAAAGGAAACAAGCTACTATGCTTAAAAGAAAAAAATTACTTTCAGCATTTCATGTGGGTTTAATAGAATTTCTAATACTGTAAGACATATTCTTACAGTTAGGATGACCTGTAACTAACTCATATTTTAGACAAAATATCCAGTTACTGTGGGCAATTTCTTCCAAAATACTATTTTTACTTTTGCTTTACGCACTACATTTTTTTACTCAGTGGCTGTGGTAAGTTCATTCTTTTTTCCTACAGTAAGGATATGTAATCAGGCCTTTATAAATTATCTGGCCACCCCTAATATGGCAGTCTCTCTTTGCTTTTTGCAAATTTAGCTGAGCACATACACATGGAACCAAAAAGTATACTATTTGTGAAATTTTAAAATAGTTCAGGGTTATATTTAACATTTATGCTAAATTACTTATAAATTGATTACAATGTATGTAACCACATAATTAAGTATCACTGATAATTTTGGATAAACAAACTACCAGAATCTGTAGCCAGTGAGATCTGTATGAACATCTCTGCAATATTTTTCAGCTCTCTTTCCCAGGTGTGACCAGAGAAATAAGTCTTGGGAATATAATTTGTTATACAATATATGAAACCAGAAGTTACTTCTACCCTTCCTACTACTACTTTGTCAACAGTCCAACCCATTCACAAAATCTTGGGGATGAAAGTTGACTTTGAAGGTCACTTAGACCATATTGTCATTCAGTGTAGAATCTGTTTTCTAGTGGCTTTGGCCAAGGTGTGTTTTCTCCTGTTTAAGTGCTTCTTCCACACTGCTGAATCAAGATTTGCACTGGTATAATAGCCCAGCTGTGTAATCTGGGCCAAGTGATTGGGGCCTCATTTTCTCATTTGTAAAATAGGCATAATTATATCTTTTCCAGAGAGCTGTCACTTGAATGAATTAATGGAAATGGCTAATATTTAGTAAGTGTTCTCAATATAAGTTTTCTAAGTGATTTCTGCATATCTTATTTTATAAGAAAAATTTGTGTCTGATGATTGGTTGGATGATTGTATAAATTGCTATCACATTTAATCACTAATTACATCAGTAATATGAACAAAGTGGCATCTGGACTCATTTTTATATCTGAACAGTCTTTTTTTAATAGACACATTACGTTTATTCATAAAGGTTTAGTAATATGAACAGTCAGTCTTAAATACAGGTTTGCATTGTATCTGGGGATTCAAATCTACAGAGATTTAAATACTGATATTCTACCAGTTAAATAAGAGTGTTTAAAGAAAAATATGATTAATGTCTATGATGGCTCTTAATTGCATACCATTTGAGTAATTATAGTAGAATATAGATTGACAACTGATAGAACTGTTGGCAACTATTAAGAAGAAGGAAAGCTGGGCTGAAATGCGGCTTAGTGCCAGACTCCGGGCCTAGCACGCATGAAGCCCTGGGTTCCATTCCTCAGTACCACACACACAGAAATAGCTGGAAGTGGTGCTGTGGCTTAAGTAGTAGAGTGCTAGCCTTGAGCAAAAAGAAGCTCACGGACAGTGCCCAATCCCTGAGTTCAAGCCCCAGGGCTGGCAAAAAAAAAAAAAAAAAGAAGGAAAGCTCAATCTGATGGCAAAATTGCCATTCGCAGAACCAGGCTTAAAAAAAAATCCAGGGAATCTTTGTATGTTTTAAAAAGTGAGCAATATGGGTGTCTTTGGAGGTAAAAACCAGGGGGATCATGGTTTAAGAACCAGCCTGGGAAAAAACAAACAAACCCATTTCAGTAAGCCTCCATCTCCATCTCCCCCAAGGGTTAGATGCTTGGTACTCATCTCCCATTCCAGGGAATGTGCTTCTCTAGGGACACATAGGTGACATCAGTCCAGGTCAGCCTCGGCACAAACAAGACTCTCTCAACAAGTAACTAATGCAAAAGTGGCTGGTAGAGAAGCTCCTGTAGAATGCCTACCTGATGTGTAAGACCCTGAGTTCACATTCCAGTGCTCCCCTCCTCACAAAAAAAGGGGGGGGGGAATGAGCAACGCTCTAGATGTTAGCTGATGCTGGCGAGAGATTTGTTTTGAACGTAACATGCAGATCTGAAGACATTGTGCGTTCATTTAAAATGTTTAGACTGCCAGCTCCAGTGGCTCACACCCATGATTCTAGCTACTCAGACAGATCTGAGGATCGCGGTTCAAAGCCAACCCAGACAGGAAAGTCTATGAGACTCTTAGTTCCCATTAACTCCAAAAACCTGGAAGTGGAGCTCTGGCTCAACTGGTAGAGTGCTAGCCTTGGACAAAAAAAGCTTAGAGGTAACTCTCAGGCCCTGAGCTCAATCCCCAGGAGCAGCAGGAGTGCATGCATGTGGATGGACACACACACACACACACACAACACTAATTTTTCTACAGCAGAAATCAATTCTGTGATGATAACCTTTTACATTAGCTTAAGCTGAAAATTATTCAGCATTTGACCAAATGCATTTTTGTCCACCTCTTATTCATCATGATGAGCTTGACCCTGTTGTGAAGCACACTACCATTTTTACTCTTCTACACTACCATCTACACTACCATCTTTACGCTTCAATGTTAATGTACTAGTTAAAAGTAGCTTAAATTTTTAAAAAATCGCTTGGTGCCAGTGGCTCATACCTGTAATCCTAGCTGTTCAAGATGGTGAGATCTGAGGATTACAGTTCAAAGCCAGTCTGACCAAAAAAGACCGTGAGACTCTTATCTCCAAGTAACTTTCAGAAAAGCAGAAGTGGTTCTGTAGATCAAGGTGGTAGATTGCTAGCCTTAAACCAAAGCTCAGGGACAGCACCCAGGTCTTGAGTTCAAGCTGACAAAAAAAAATTATGTAATCTCCCAACAAGATATAAGTCTATGTGTAACCAAGCACTGTTCACACTAGTTTAAAATGGAACTAGCCTAGTTCTCCACCAGCTAATGAGTGGGTTCAGAAAATGTAGTACATATATAGTATGCAGTATTAAACAAGCATAAAATCCTGCCATTTACACCAGTATGCATGAAACAAGGTGGTATTGAGGTATCATTACGTGAAATGATCTAGACATAGAAATAATATAACTGCTGTATGAGATAAGAAGTGTGGTCTTAAAGAAGTTGAGCATGGCTGCAGAGTGGGCAGGCTGGAGCGATCGAGGAAGGTGTGATCAGTAGGAACTTAAGCTGCAGGAAGAGAGGATTAAGAAGTTCTGGTGTGCTGTTGCACAGTAGCGGATTGGATAAACATAGTGTTTATCCAATACTAGGAGATTACATGTTCTTACCACAAATGATAAGTGTTTGAGGAGATATGTGTGACCTTTAAGAGTCAAATCATATGAGGCTGGGGATATGGCTTCCTGGTAGAGTGTTTGCCTAGCGTATGTGAAGCTCTAGGTTCCATTCCTAGTACCACATAAGGAAAAAGCTGGAAGTAGAGCTGTGGATCAGGTGGTAGGCTGCTAGCCTTGAGCAAAAGAAGCTTGGGGACAGTGTCCCGGTCCTGAGTTCAAGCCCCAGGACTGTCAGATATATACATAATGCATAGAATATACATGTAACAAAATACCACATGGTATTCCATAAATTTGTACAGCTTTTATTGTTTTCATGTATCATTTGAAATGTGTGTGTGTGTGCGCGCGCGCGCGTGTTTATACTGGGGCTTGAATTCAGAGCTGTGCACTGTCCTTTAGCATTTTCTGCCCAAGGCTGGTGCTCACCCTCATTTTTTTTTGCTAGCTAATTGAAGATAAGATACTCATGGAATTTCATTACCAGGCTGGCTTTGAACTTTAGTCTTCACATCTCAACCTCCAAAGTAGCTAGGATTATAGGCATAGGTCACCAGAGCCTAGCCAAAAATATTAATTTTTAAAAAAGGAAAAAGAAGAAATAACTATAATCTATAAAACAAGAGAAGGTTCTGCTGCAGACATCACCGTACGAGTGATTTGCCCATTTGTCACTCAAAACATGCATCCAGAACTTTCTCTGTGACAGGTGTTCCAGGGATAGGTCAGTAAGTAGGACATAGTCTTCTGAGGACTTTACTGTTCAACAAGAAATAGACATTTAAAGAGATAAATATAAATAAGATAATAGCATTTTGGGGTTGGAAGAAATTAAAATTTAATTTTGCTATTTTCTGATATAAGCTAGTTTCATCAGTTATAAACAGTACTTTAATAGTACTTCTTCCCCAACAGTTATTACTAAACAAATATATATAGGTATATATATTAAAAGAGGTTATGCTAACCGCCTGCCACTAGTGCTACAGATAGTTATACCCACAAGAACCCTTTAGAAGCTGAGCTGTCATCTGTTTACCTAAATTTTCTAAGTTGTTTACATCAATTCAATATTTAGGTAATATTCAAATAAGAATTTATGCAATTTAACTTTTCCAGTGTTTGGCATTACATTAGTAATTGATAATCCCAGGAGACTTATTTAATATGTATTTCTTTTTTTTATTGATTTTATATGAAATTATTCTAAATAGGTATATTTTTATGTCTCCTCTGACCCAAATGAAAGCTCTCAAAATCTTCTCTCATGAAATAAAAATATCTCTACCTAACACCATGGGAATGAATTTAGACAATAACAGTTGACGTTTTTTTCCTTAATAGGAATATGATGAAGAATGGGCAAAGAAAATTCAGAGTGAAAAGTTTCGCTGGCATAATTCTCAGTGGCTGGAGATGGTCGAGAGCCGCCAGATGGACGAGAGTGAGCAGTACTTGTATGGTGATGACCGAATTGAGCCGTACATCCATGAAGGAGATATTCTGGAAAGACCTGACCTTTTCTACAACTCAGGTAAGGCAGCACCAAGGCCAAAAGAAACAATTTGTGTGCTACAAATCAGCATTTAGCTATGCCAGCCTTGCACATTTCAAAAACGTGTAAGCACTTTTTTTGATGACTGATCTGCTATGTAACATCCATATACACCAAGAAAATCTAGTAACTTGTTATCTTTTCAAGTATGTCTTTGATATAATCACCATTAAAAAAAAATGGGTGCTAGTCAAATTAGTGGTTCTTAGAAGTTTATGACTCTCTAGAACATAGATTCTAAATGAATGGTACCAAGATTTCTGACTGCTGTCCAAAATAAAATACTAATTTTTCTGACTGCTGTCCAAAATAAAATACTTATTTTTCTCTACTCTTATTAATAAATATATAATTCATTAATTTATATTTTATATTCTTAGGTACTTCACAGTTTAATTTTGGTATATTTTGCTTTAATAGCAAACTACTAAATTTTACTTAGTGACTAGTAGGACACTTTAGGTACTTTGGAGCAATATTTCTCTCCCCCTTTATAAACGTTAGTGGTTTTCAAGGCAAAAATTAATATTTGTCCAAACTTTTCATATATTATTACTTTGTTGATTATGCTGTACTGCCTTTCTCCAGGAATGATAGATAGATAAGATTTTGCACATTCTGACTTTTTTAGTGTTCTCCGCTGCTACCAGTGTTACTATTACAGCAGTGAAGTCATTTAGTTGAGAAGAGAAAGGAAAGTAATTTTTTTGAAACTCTGTGAGAATTTGGAAATAAAAAGTGTTATGGCTGGGGTATTGCTCATGACAATACCCAAACGACTCCAATGTCAATCACCAGCACAAATAAATACATACATACACACATAATATCCGAATTAATGGCTCATCTTTTTTTCCTACTCTGTAGTCTTACTATATGTTTACTTTGTTCTCAATTCATGTTTTTCTCATTTTATCAGAATTTGTGTGTGATTAATAAATGGCTGATAATATAGTTTATCATCACATTTAACCACTACTAATTAGCATCACATCTAATCACTAATACTATTGTCTATTCACATTTTCATGAATTTATATTGTACAGACTTCCTCAGCATACTCTGTATCCCTTTCATATTTTATATATATTCTCAAACTTTAGAAAATTGGTGCTACATTTTGAATATTGAATAGATTTCTTCCTCACTGAACTCTACAGCAGTTATGAAATGCTGCTTTGTGTTTCAAACCAGATGGAAAAGATCATTAATTTCAACCAACGAGAATTTCCAAGTTCGGTAATAGCAAGCAGCTGTTGTCGAATATCCAGTATCCATGAAGTAGAATGATGTAAAATATGGGTGACGTGATTTGTTTTGTTTATAGGAATCAGAATATTCTTAGAATCAAGTTTCTTTCCTTGGAGATTGATAGCTATGTGTCAATATGAATCAATTCCGCTTCCAAAATTGAAAGTGTCAGTTACCTCATATTCAACTTTATTGTTTTAATGCATAGAAAATTTCAGAATGAATTTTTAAGTTGTATTACACTTCTAAAATTTGTTTTTATTAACCTCTTAAAGTAAACAAAAATCATAGCTTGTCTTAAAAGTTCTGTACCCTGTTGATAACATTTATGTGACCATGAAAATATCATGCTGTTTAGTTCTTATAGCAACTTGTCTAATATGTTTTTAGTTTATTCCTTTTTTTGTTTATTTCCATGAAGTTCGTGGACTAAATAAAAGTTGAGTCTCTGCAGTTTTATACGTGATGGGCAATAGCCCCTTTTCTTTTATCACATGTAGCTGTAGCTTGGAAATCCCAGATAAATATTTTAAACTTAGTTTGTTTGAGAGGTCTTGTTAGAGCTGCTTCCTATAAAAACAAAGTTAGTAACAGGGGCCAAATGTGATTCTTCTGAGTCTTTTACTTTAAAATGAAATGATATTTTCTGTCTCCTGATCATTAGAGCCACCCTCTATTTTCAAATGATTAGGTGTCAGTCAAAACATATGTTTCTCTCTTGCTTTTGTAAGAATGTTAGAGTTATAAGACTGGTATCCCCTTTACTTAGTACTTTTTCCTTAGGATCTAAAAGTGACTATAGTCATTGATTAATTTCCTTTGCTGTCATGAAAGTAAACTGCTTAGGTGCTTCTCACAAATAGAGAAAGAGTATAGTGTAACTTACAGACAGTTTTACTGCTACACACTTGACTTTTTATACAAAGGACTTTTTACTTGTTTATGTTCTTCATCAATCATGATTGATCTGTCTTATTCTTAGAATGTGAATATATTTCTAGAATATGAAGATTAAAACAATTTGTAAAAATCATTATTTTGTGTTTAATGTTGTATCTTACCAAGTGTACCCAAGTAAGTTAATGTTCATCATTTTAGTAATTTCTTTTTCTCACTTTCTATGTTATTGTCATCCATTTCCTTCCACAAAGTCACAAGAGTCCAGTAGTCTAGTAATCCAATATAACAGATACTAAGTTGTAAGTTTCACTTTTGTACATGGTTGTTTTTTTTTTTGGGTCCAGTCGTGGGGCCTGAACTCTGGGCCTGGGTGCTGTCCCTTAACTCTTCAGCTCAAGTCTAGCGCTCTACCACTTGAGCCACAGCGCCACTTCCAGCTGTGGTGCTGAGGAATCGAACCCAGGGCCTCCTGCATGCAAGGCAAGCACTCTACCACTGAGCCACCTTCCCAGCCCCTGTGCATGATTTTTCTTAGATAGTTTTTTACTGGCTTTTAGAAATCAAGAGGTCAGTAATTTATCTGCTTTGATTTTTATCACTGTTCCAGTATACACTCCATTTATTCATAACCATATTTATCGTTGTACTTGGAACATCGTAGCAAGGTCTGTTACATAACTGTAAAACTGTTATCCTGTATAATTTAATAACTATATATGTATGATACTCCAGAGTTAGGATGTTTTGTTGTATAGTATCTCCTTTTTTCTGTTTGTTCTGTGATCATTCAAATGTATTTATTCATTGTAGCTGTACTAGCTGTGAGGAGAAACTTAAAAAGTACCCTACTATTAAATTTATTTGGGGTTTGTAATCGAGTTTGTGAGGACTGAGGCCATAGCTCAGTGTTAGACTACCTGCCTAGCCTGTATGAATCCCAGGCTTGAGCTCCAGCTTGTATGTCTAATTTTTAGTATTTTCAAAAAGAAATCATTTTAATTGCTCAACATGAATAATCACATATTAACAAAGTAGTTGGAATGCTTTTGATGAGATGTTTCTATGAGAGTTTACTAGAACGTTAATCCCTAATTTGTCAAAGAGAAGAAGTTCCTATGTCAGAACTACCCAATTCTCACTAGCCCATAAGGTGTGCCATTGATACTATAAAACTACACCCTGTGCAGTACCTTAGAACTTTAAAAATGTATTTCAGGGGCTGGGAAGGTGGCTCAGTGGTAGAGTGCTTGCCTTGCATGCCTGAGGCCCTGGGTTCGATTCCCTAGCACCACATAAGCAAAAAGAAAAAAGCCAGAAGTGGCACTGTGGCTCAAGTGGTAGAGCACTAGCCTTGAGCTGAAGAGCTGAGGGACTGCATCCAGGCCCCAGAGTTCAGGCCCCCACGACCAGATCCAAAAAAAAAAATGTATTTCAGAAATATATTTGTATTCCTTTTATTTATATAAGATCTGGATTATTGTGTTACAAGCTAATTGTATCTATCTTTATAAATTTTCTGGCTAAAACTTTGAAGTAAAAAAATTTAGTTTGAATGCTATTTTATGATATCCTAATTTCCTGTATTCTCACTTTTTAAAAAAATTTATTAGCATATATTATTTATACAAGGAAGGTTTGTTTCATTGTGACATTTTCATATATAGATTTTGTTACTTTTTCTGTAAAAACAGCAGAAACGTTGGATTTAAAAAACAAGAATTTGATCCACTTTTAATTTCTTATATATTTTACTTTTACTAGGTCACATTTCCTAACTATAAATTCTAAAAACATGGTAAAAGTTCTTTCAGATGGTTTATATATATCTGAAATACTGACTGCTAAGATCTTTTTTGCTGTGCCACTGTGATCATCTTTGCATTCACTTTCAAAATGGTGTATGAATATTATTTCAACATTTTATTTAATGTTCTTTGTTCCTCCAAAATTGGCAGGATTCTCAAACCATCATGCTCAATTATAGGTTTTAATTTTACAAGGTGATTTATTGAAAATGTTTTATCTTGTAGTTGTTAATTATAGTGCCATGTCACAAACTCCTACATACAAATAAAATTTATTTATTTATTATTTATAAATTGGTGCTTTATTGTCAGTCTGTGGTATCTTGGCATTTCCAACAGCTGCTGGTCTTTTGATTTACAGAACCTAATATCTAGTGAACATAAAAACTGAACTAAATGTTACTAAAACTTCAGTGAAAACTCAAGTATTTTAAATTTAGAAGAGTCACAAGATAAATGCCAAAAGTATCTATTAACAATTCAATAATTAAATAATATTCTAGTCCATTAATATATGATGTGTCACAAATGGATATATGTACCGAATGAGCAGTATGGAAGTCTTCTTTTTAAAATGAGCAGGATGAAAGTTTTTAGTAAATGAAGTTTTATACAAATGAAATTTTGTAAATGGACTAATTTGCCAACTCTATTAACTTATTTGTATCAGATACTCTATTTTTTAATACTCCCATTCTTCGGATTTTGCTATTTAAATTCTACCTACTCTTCCAAACTTATTAGTTATACTTTTTCTCCCTTGCCTTCTAAGAAGAACTTTCTAAACACTGCCATTTATTGGTACATATATATACTCCTTTTGTGTATTATTTATTAATAATTCATTGTACATATTTTATAAAAATTATTCAAAACATTTATGTATTATAATTCTATATTATACATAATGTTATATATTTCCTATTGTGATGTGTTAGGTATGCAATAATGGTTTGGTGACTAAATCATTTGGTGAATAATTTGCCTTCCATGTGCCAAATTTTTAAATAATGTGATGGATATAACTTGGCCAATATTTGTATTTAGACTTCAACAACCCAGATCATTTCAGAAGACATGGAAGTTCTCAGTGTCATCCAGATGGTTAAATAAAAGCCGTATACCAAAGTGTCTGTTCCATGCATAGGACAGCCCTGAAGTGATCATAGATCTTTTTTCCCTCAGACCCTTTTTATTAACTTATTTATGATTCTATAAAAATAAGTTATCTAGATTCTTAGATAAAAGAGCAAATTAGAAATAATGTAACTCTAAATTAGAGAAACAGTACCAGAGACTTAAATTTAGGAACAGAAGTACTTTATAATTTAAAAAAAAAAGGAACTAAAGCATAATGGTATGGACTCATTTAGTATGGGGAGTCCTAAAAGTAGGAATATATAATAACTTAGATTTTAATGAAGATAAGTCATCAAAAAGTATTTAACTTTGTAGAATACACGGTTTTTTAAAACACATGGAATAAAATTTTACTTAGGTGAAATTTCACTGTCAGTTTGTATGTTTGTTAATGTTTAGTTTTTTGATATGCCTGACTCTACGTTCCACAAGTGAAAGTTGCCTAGGTGTAAAATACGAAGGCTGCTCTCTACGTTCACTGCTGTGGGATATCCTCTGGCCCTCGCTGAAGGCCGCTCTCGGTTTGACAGGGTCGTTTCCTTGTTATTCCTTACAAATATACTTTACTAGTTATCACTTTATTTCTAGATGGATTAATTACCTCCGAAGGAGCCATAAGTCCAGACTTCTTCAGTGACTATCACCTTCAGAATGGAGATGTGGCTGGGCAGCATGCGTTTTCTGGCAGGTAAAGACTTCCAAGAAAAATCAGATGTATGGTGTTTCTTTTGTTTTTGAAAAGTTAAAATTCTCTTCATTCCCAATTTTTATATCCTTTCTGTTAAAGTGGAGAGGGACCCAGACTTTTCAAGAGCATGTTTGTTTGCTTTTAAGTTAATTCCATGCAAAAAATGGACATCACAGATCTGAACAGATTCTTTACCACTTTGGAAACACTGTTGAAACAGACTAGACCTTGGTGAGTTTGAACACAGGTTATTTCCTCGATGTTTTCAATTAAACAGAACCAAGAACAAAGAGGCATAGTACAAGAACTGTTCAAATGTCACTATGCAGAAAAGTTAATGCTTTAAATTGATGACTTTTCTACTGTAGAGAGCATTCAAGTAAAATATTTCAGGACAAATATCTGACAGGCCAGCATTGTTGTGTAGTTAAAATATGGTTCCATTGCTGCGGGCTGGTGGCTCACCTGTAATCCTAGCTACTCAGAAGACTAAGATCTTAGAATCGCAGTTCAAAGATGGTCTGGGCAGGACAGTCTGTGAGATTCTTATCCCCAGTTAACTACCAGAAAACTAGAAGTGGCACTGTGGCTCAAAGTGGTAGAGTGCTAGCCTTGAGCAAAAGAGCTCAGTTTGCGGCCCCTGAATTCAACCCCATGACTGACAAAAAAAAAAAAGATAAATAAAAAAATGCAGTTCCCTCCATGCTTCATTCCTCATAGAGTTAAAGATTTCTTAATTTGCCAAAAAATATAAACAGTATTTCCTCTTTATACTACACCTATTAGTATTTTAATTTAGGCTGATAGTTGATATTTCATATTATCTAATATAATAGATATAATCTTATTTTTCCTGAAGCTTACTTTTCTAATTCAAACTATTGATTTAATTTCTGCTTTTAAAATGTTATTTTTATTAGTATAAGCTATTTTCTGTTTAAGAGATCCATTCATTAATGTGTTTTTAAATGAATGATAAAATGTGATAAATGCAATTTAACCTTTAATGATCACTTTTAATAATTATTTAAATTCAATTGCAATTATAATGTCTTCAACCATTATTGATTGTCGGATATAATGTGTCTTATATATATTCATCTCTTTAATTTTAATGTGTACAACAATGTTTTGTGTTTTGTTTGGTTGGTCATGGGGGCTGAACTTTGGACCTGGGCACTGTCCCTTGGCTCTTCAGCTCAAGCCTGGTGCTCTACCACTTGAGCCACAGTGCCACTTCTGGCTCTTTTCTGCTTATGTGGTGCAAAGGAATCAAACCGGGGCCTCATGCATGCAAGGCATATACTCTACCACTGAGCCACCTTCCCAGCCCCTACAACAATGTTTTAAATCAAGAATTATATCTCTTAGGAGTGAAAAATCAAGGCTCTAACATTTTAAGTTAGCCAGGCACCAGTGGCTTATGCCTGTAATTCTAGCTACTCAGGAGGCTAAGACCCAAGGTTTGGGGTTCAAAGCCAGCCCACACAGGCCAGCCCATGAGACTTACCTCCAGTTAACCACCAAAGCTGTGACGGAGCTGTGGCTCAAGTGGTAGAGCACTAGTCCCCAGGCCGAGTCTAAGCCCCAGAACCCACACAAGAAAAACCAAAGCAGTCAAGAAACATAAGTGTTATGATAGAAGTGTTATGATTTGAACTCAGATCTATAAGTCACCAAAGTTTATGGTTTTTCCAGTATAAAATGCTGGAGGAAACAAAATATATGTTTGTGACTTGTAAGCTTGTTTATCGCTGACTATATTAAAAGAAGTGCTTTTTATTTCTCCACCTAGTGTACACATATATACTTTTTACATACATGTATGTATGTGTATGTAGGTGTACATTTGTGTATATGTCTGTGTAGAAGAAAATTTTCTTTAAATGATACTCTTACTATCTATAATGTACAGTGTTAGTTTGATTACATTTTTAAATACGGATTTCAACTCGTTAAGTTGATTTCACAATTCACTCAAGGTCATGACCCAAAGTTTGAGAATGTGATAGGAAAACATTAGGAGTATTAACTGAAATGTGTAGCTCAGTCTTCTGTAGTGGCTTTTCAATTTAAAAAAAAAAGCGCTCGATAAATGGTTTTATCAGTACAGTGAATCATCACTGTAAGACATTCTTGCCTCAAAAAATAAAAGCAAACTATGGTTGAAAACTAAAAACCATATGACTTTTAATTGCTTCTGGTGTTTCTGGATATATAGTGTAGTTACTTAACTGAATATCATATGATAATTCATTGTATAGTGTTTTCTGAAACAGTTGAAAAAAGAAAAATAACAGAATTTTGCTTATAGCATTTGTAAGATTATCCAGCCATTATAATTACTATGCTCTCACTTGATTTCACTGTGAACCAAACAATACTTTTGTATATCTTGTAAACATTTCCATCTAAAGAAAACAGACTGCTACTAACTACCTATGTGAAGGTTTGCTTTCTTTTTTCTTTGGAGAGAGAGTCGATAGCTCAGGCTGGTCTGGAACTCGCCCTTGGTCTCACACCTGACAGTCTACTTCTCTAACCTCTCTAGGGCTGGGGTCAGAGTTGTGAACCAGCTCAGCTAGTTTCATGTTTTCAATATGATTGTGTGAGTTTAAGGATGCTGAACATTTCCACCGAAATCAAGTACAGCACTGGTTATGGTGATTCAGAACTCTAATCCCAGCAGTGGGGGGCTGAGGCAGGGTGGTTGAATTGGAGACCAACTTGGGATACACGGTAAGACTTTGTCTAAAAAAAATTAAAACTTAATACACATTTTTAAATACTAGGCAAAATAATAATCTTGTAAACCCAATTAAGCAAAATCTCTTATTTCTAGTTTTTAAAAATGGTCATTTTAAGAATGACCATTCTTCCCAAATGATAAAAAACATTTGAAACACATAGGTTTAGTGACTAGGTTATTTTTAAGAGTCATTTGTTTTTGTTTCTGTTGATTATTTTCAGTGACTTGGGGAAAATACTTTTATAAATTCTGTTTATTTCAAAGTTAAGAATATATAAGTAGCTTCTTATACTTTATAAAAGATACATGACAGTAATGCACATTTAAAAAGTTAGTTAATAAAAGATATTCTAGACTTTTTCAAATCAAGAGTGTGAAGTTCTACTTATTATTTTTTATGAGGGAATTTTTTTAAAGAGTACGTCCTGCTAGGTGTCGGTGGCTTATACCTACAATCCTAGCTACTCAGGAGGCTGAGATTTGAAGATTGCAGTTGAAAGCCAGCCTACACAAGAGAGTCCATGAAACTCTTATCTCCAATAAGCTACTCAAAATAGCTGTAAGTAGCTGGGTGCCAGTGGCTCACACTTGTAATCCTAGATCTGGGGATCATAATTCAAAGCCAGCCCAGGCAGGAAAAGTCCGTGAGACTCTTATCTCCAATAAGCCACTCAGAAAACTGGAAGTGAGGCTGTGGCTCAAGTGGTAGAGCACCACCCTTGAGCTGAAGAGCTGAAGGACGGGACCCAGGCCCAGAGTTCAAACCCCAGGACTGTTCTAAAAACAAACCAAAAAAAAAAAAAAAGAAGAAGAAGAAGCACCTCCCTTTGAGAAAGTTAAGTCTTTCATCTTTTGACTTTTATACTTTTTCAGGCCTTAAATCACATAACTTTCCTACTTTTTTATTTTCAGAAGAAGTAATATGCAATGAACTTCCCCAAACTTTTAAATAATAAATCAAATGAAGTGGGATTCTACATTGTCTGTAGAGATACAGAGATACAGCTGGAGGTCTACTTGTTCTTTTCCACATTTTGCTTTATTATTCTGGATTTGTTTACCTTTTCATTTATTCCATTTTTTGGGGGGGTCCAGTCGTGGGGCCTGAACTCTGGGCCTGGGCGCTGTCCCTCAGCTCTTCAGCTCAAGGCTAGCAAGAGTGCCACTTGAGCCACAGCGCCACTTCCGGCTTTTTTCTTTTTGTTTATGTGGTGCTGAGGAATTGAACCCAGGGCCTCAGGCATGCAAGGCAAGCTCTCTACTACTGAGCCACCTTCCCAGCCCTTATTCCATTTTTTTAATATTTAGGATTCTCCCTTTAATGGGTTTTATATGATATTCTTGATGCTCACCAATCATGGATTTTTAAGTTTGGCATATCTTTTAATTATGCAGAGATTTAAAGTATTTTAAATTGATACATAATTATTCACATTTTAGTATGACAATGTTGCTGTATAATATGTCAGATATTTTAAACTAATGGTTGACTTTCAGCTTCTAAGATCCAATGGATAAATTCAGAGCTCATTAGATCAAATAATATTGACTCAATACATTATTTTTTAATTTCTCCACTTTAACTGATTTTAAAATAGGAATATTTTTCAGGAAACGTTCTTTTTTATTTTTTTGTACGTTTTTTATCGTAAAATGCATGAGCATTGTTAAATGATAAGTTCTTTAAGCAAAAGTTGTTGAACTCTATTCTTTATCTCCACTTTGAAGATGAGAATAAGCAGACTAGATAGATACCATAAAAAATTAAGACTGTGAAAGAGTAAGTCTTAAACCGAATTTTAAATATTAAAAAACTGGTTGTCTAAATCCCTCTAAAACAAGAAAATGTTGTTCCTGTGGAGGCTTTGTATGTGTATCTGTGTGTGTGTGTCTGTGCGTATGCATGTATGCATGTGTCATTGAAATCAGAGAAAATGGCCCCGATGATTTACAGACTCTTTCCCTGCTTTATCATATGTCTTTGATAACTAAGGCCTACCAGGTTATCTGGGGAGCATAATAGCAGGTTACTGTATGAAAGGTGAAGCGCCACCACCACTGTTGTCTTTAGGGGTCTCACTGACAGCTGGATGTGGAAGAAATGTGAAACAGTACCAGAATGCCAGGCGCCACTTCTGCCTTTGTTTTTTTCCCCAAATATTTCTACTTGAGTGGATGATCTCCCATTCCTGCAAGCTAATGAATAAATTTGTATGTCAGGAGCTTTTTTACAAAAAAAAAAAAAAAAGTG